TCCACCACACAAACGTGATACACGACCGCATTCCTGCACGATTCTCTTCCAGATCGAAACGGGCCGGGGATGGGGATTTGAATCCAGGATCCCTGGGTTCAATTCCCACCCCTGCCCGCTTCGATCCGGATATGCATCGTACCGGCCACCGGCTAATAAAGAAATTACGTCTTTCCTTTTTACCTTTTGAACCAGTTAATGCCATGCTCTCAAATGTTGGCATTATATCACCACCACTGGCATAATATTCTGACAAAGTTGCAGCTTTCTACCAGACTTGTACTCTACTCATTACAACCAACCGAATCACTTGTAATCGATCACTTTCTGGAGTAATTTTGTAATAACTGTGATTACATTTATTAGTAGGTAATCGCAAGAGTAATTTGATTATTTTAAGAGCTGAAATTACTTCAAGCCGTAAACTTTTTCCCCCTCCCCTTAATAAAGGCTCCTGTTGTTTGGAAATATTTAAGAGCAAGGGATATTCAAAGCAAATATCCGAATGCGCGATGGTTTACCAAAATTGCTAGATTCAATAAATAAATAGTTTATAATTTGGTTATGCTAATCTGGGAATGAACAGTACGAAGGACCAACGGTTTTCAAACCGGAAGAAAAATTGGTCGTTTTGAAAATCTGGAAGACCTTTTTCCTTCTGAACTAACCAGAATAATCTAATCGGATACTTTTCAACCGAGAGTAATAGTAATTGTAGTCTATCACTTCTTTCAATTACCGCGTACAAGACTGTTTTCTGCAGTGGCAGTGCACGGTTTATTTATGCGGAACAAAAATCGGGTTTCATTTTCTAGATCGATCTAGTTCGCACTCGTGAACAAGTACGTTGCGCTCGCTTTCTTTTTAATGGAGCCACGAGGAGGGCGAACACAATGTCGATCAGGTGCGAAAGGGCTGTATATTCACTCTCGGAAATGAAAACATTTATGTAGTACCCCGCCATGGTCGCCGACGTATATCATTGTCGGTCTTCCTTTAATCAGATCAACCGGTGGGGAGTGACTGCGGTGGCGCGGTTTAACAATGCATTCCCAGAAGCGAATAAAGAGTGCGCGCTTTTCGTCACTGAGGTTGATTGCATGACAGTTGGAGCGCGATACGTAGCAGTCTTTTCGGATTCAATGGAAATAAAGACAGCTCCATGTTTTCCGCCTACACCAATAAACGTTGAATAGAAACTCCCGAAGTGGTTTTATCAAATCCTCAGAAAAGAGGAAAAGACCCGATTGGAGCTGACTTTGAATAGGGAGGAACCTAAGCTTCAGGAGAAGAAGTCTTTTCGTCAGCTTTATCTTGTGTTCACCCAAAACACAACCTCCACTAAACATTTGGCGAAACAGTTGCTTTTTTTTTTTTTGGGGGGGGGGGGGGGGGGGGGGGAAGCAACGCCTATTTGCCCGTTTGCTTCTTTCCTCAGCACCGGGACATTTTCCGAGCACAGTAATGTCTCAGATAAACACCTCCCCTTTAAAAAAAAAAAAAAAAAAAAAAAAAAAAAAACGTTTATTATGTAAATTGTCCGTAATAACGAGACAAATGTGCGTGTATTTATGCAGTTCGTCCCCAAAACCGTTGTCGATAAAGCCTATATACTGACGGGGTTCACATTAACGAAGCATTACTGTAGTCGGGTCCCTCTTATACTCTCCGGAGGCTGTGGCATCTGTTGCTCATGACCGTCGGTCCAAAATGCCCATTTTCGACCGACGCCAAAGCATTGAACCCGAAAAAAAAAAATCTGTGGGTAAAATAGACCCCGAAAAATACACAGAAACTCCGAAAACAGGTGGCTCTATAGCTATAATTGCTGCTAGTTTCAAATGTACCGCGGGCCAGTTTGCGTGCAGGCATTTCTGATGCCTGGCGTTTAAAGGGGCACAGCACCTAGATCAGATCAAAGTTTTGAGTAAGTAGAAACAGCTTCTGGGTTCCGTCGTTTAATTCCTGGGTTCAGATCGGAATGATTTTCTCAGTATCCACGTTGCGTGTTAAAGTGGGCGCGTGGTTGCGTGAAAGAGCAGCCCTGGTCAATATTTTCAAATTTTATTTCTAACCACTGTTTTTGGCTCAGTCAGTCTCCCTGAAATAAAATGAATATTTTTTTGCCTCGACTTTGTACGTAGTTCTCTAAATTTCATAGCTCAAAGTGTGGGTTCGGGCATATACGGCTAAACCGAAACTATCTGAGAAGGAGAGATCAAAACACTAATCACCAGCCGTACGTCGACTCCCTCGCGCGAGTAAGACTCATCGCTGGGTTTATGTGTGACCTCTATTTGCCCCAGTGTCACTATTTTATTTATTCTTATCCGGAAGCGAAGTCAGCCTCCGCAGCGGATGCGAGTATCCTCTCCTTGCGAGCCAATCTGACAGCATCGTGTTGTCTAATGGTATATATTCGGCTGGTCAATTTCCAGCGTTTTAAAGCGTTCTGAAAAGCCGACGCCCGTTCGGCTGAGTCGCCCAGGGTATATTCGGATGATTCTTTCAGAGCGCTCTCAGATTTTCAGCGCGCGCCGTCCTCCGACAAGCAGCACTGTGAGGTGCTCCGATATCAAAGTAGGCGCCACTGGTCTCTACTGAAATTGGCTGGATCGAGCATTCCCGCTTGGTCGCTGCAGCACAAGAGCGCCCACCGCAAGTTCCGAATTTGCAATCTTGGACATGTGTAAATCTGCCAGGTGAAACGTTGCAGAGGTTGGACGGCTGCGGGCGGAGAGGCATGTTTTCTGCTCGTTCGCCGCCATTTACCGAAGTTTCTTTTAAACCATGCGTAAACGGTCGCAGATACCTTTGAGAATCCACGGAAAGTTTTCCGAAATTTTCACGATAACAATATATAACGAAATAAAAAGTACATTTAAATACTTACTAAACATTATAGCCTCAGGCGATTATTCGAGGCTTCCGCCACCTCAATCGGTGCCCATTTGTGACTCTGGCGAGAGCGTCCTATCAAAGAACGCATAAGAAAAAGCCTCTTTTCAATTCCTAACAAACCAGCACCCCGTGAAACCAAGATCGTTGGGGCAACTTTCTTCCCTTAAAGGCCGATGTACAGTTTGCGCTTTCCACTTTTCCTCATTAACTCCTTTTCTCCATCCTCCCCAACTTTTAACTTCCCCTAACACGACTTTCCTTTCAGCGTAGGAGAGGCGGGCGCCAAAATGTTTATCTTCCCTGTAGAAGACCGAGGTTGTTCGTCAAACTTTAAGCAGCTAATTGTGGGTTCAAAGCGCAAAAAACACGATTGCTGTAGCCCCCCCCCCCCCCCCCCCCCCCTTTCCCGCTTCCTTCTGTTCCTTTGCTATTGAATCAATCTGGTTTCCGGCCTGCGAGTGCTGCAAGTTACAAACATTTACATTCGTCAGGGCAGAGGAAATCGCTGCACCAGAGACTCATACACTTTCACGCGCATTGTAATCGTGAAACTCTCGAAGAGGGTTAAGCACATTGACACGGCGTCGATTCACGGTTTTCAAGCATGCGTGACAAGGCATGTACTTTGATCAGGCCACCTGACCGAAACACGTGCGTTCAATGAGTTGTGTTTCTTTCCTGCGGTGCTGGGCTTTCGACAACAAAAAAAAAATAACTGGTTCTCAGGAACAGCTACAAAGTATTACACAAGGTATTAAAAAAATCATTTTTCGGCGAATGACGGCAAACAAGCGGAAAAAGTGCCTTTCAGCCCGCAATCGCCCAGACTTTGCAACACATCACCCGGCACATCTATACACACGCCCAAGATGTCCGCCGGTGGCCGGATTGGCGGAGTGGAGAAGCGCAATCCAGCAGCCGTTGGAGCGGTAGGAGCGCCTGCTCGAGAACAGGTCACGTGACCCCAATCACTTCCGCTGTGTGGATAAAAAAGAACGATGTCGATAGGGCCGAGAGGCTTAGCGTCGGACATCACTACGCTTGGATGCCGCACCAATCACGCTGTGATGGGCAGTAAGTGCCGGAGGTGTTCGGCGCTTGACGGGGGACTTTCGCTGCGAAAACCAGCGTCCACATTGACGGCTGCCACTTTTCGTGCAAGCATGCGGACGTGTGGCGGTGGTGCAGCTGGTGCCACATGCAGGGGTGTTGAATAGAAGCATGAATGATATTACGTGCATAAACCACTTCGTATCGGCCGGTAGCTTGTTCCATAGCAGTGGAGCGGTAGTGAAAGCTGTCCTCGGTATCCGGCTCCGCGTAGGCGCTTTCGCCGCACGGAAAAATAGCAGAACATTCTGCTGACGCGCCGTTCTTTTAGCTCAGATCTGGGGACGCTCCCGGACTTCGCAGATCTGATTCGGAGGATTGGAACGCTGGAAAGCGACCTGCCGAATATACCAAAGGGATCATGTAGTCGTTGAAAAGGTGCACAACACTTTGCCGTGTCCTAGGACACGGACCTTTCGGTGTTCCTCCCCCCCCCCCCCCTAGTTTCCATGTGCCGAGGTACATACAGCCTAACGTCGCCATCCAGTAGGTCGGAGAAGTTTAATGCTCCGGCGTCTGACAGCTGCCATAGCATAGTTAGACGACAGTTAAGTCACTAAATAAAATGTGCTACACAAGAAAATAAACAAAGATGGTTTATGTTTTTTTTTTAATAAAAGCTACATAAGCCGACTGTTTTAAAAGATAGGTAACGAAGGTAAGGCATTTCAATTGCTAATTACCACTTTTAATTCGCAGATCGATGTTCGCCCATGGTCGACACCTTTATCCCAAATAAATATCTAAAAAACTATTTCGAGCTAGTCTTTGGTAAAACACCCTGTATACGTTAAACAAAAACAACGAGCTCTCCCTACTGTACATCACTGTTAGTTTTCCCCTACTGTACATCACTGTACATCAGAAGAATGTAGCATCATCGAAGAGCGTCATGAGCGGGTATACCAAATGCCGGCCAGGTCCTAGCAACATGACTTAGATCACCTCAAACAAGTTTAGTGTGTTGCATACTGGCGGCAGTTCCGCTCTTACCAGACAGTGGTGGCGAGGCTGTCGTTCTGGCACTTCCACGCTTTGGAACCGTAGACGGCTTCTCCGTTCACCCTGAGCCAGCTGCCGAGCTGAGCGAGCCTCTCCTGGAAAATGGGCGCGATTCTGCCGTCGTGCGTCGGTCCAACGTTGATGAGGATGTTGCCGCCGCAGCTGATGAGAGAGCGCACGGAGACGAACACGAAAGATCAATTGAAGGGACTGTAGTCGCTGACAGTTGAGAAATCGCAAGAAGGAGAGGTAACATCTCTCCGGAGTGGTGAAGATTTTTATTTATTAACATTTTTATACGGTGTAGTTTTGTGTTGTTTTTGTAAAAACGCAAAGAGTCGTGGCAACGGCAACGTTCATCTTTAAGCTACAACAAAGTGTCATGGTGGGAACAAAGAGAAAGCAGACCTTATTGTCTCAACGAGCGTAGCGATGAGCTTCTCAATCGTAAAAAAGTCCGAGAGACTGGCGTTCCTTCGATAACCCCAGGAGTACTTGTCAACCGTCATGCAGTTTTCCCACTTGTGCGGCTGGAGGACGCCTGCGTTGAAGAGAAAACAAATTTGTCATATACTATGTACCATAAGATGGCAGACCGGTGCGCTGCTCTTTTACGTAGTATGTTGTACCGCTGCTCTGTTACGTAGTATGTTGTATGTTGTAGTATATTACGTAGTATGTTACGTAAAAAGCACCTTCATACTTGACGTAATCGTACCACGCCGGTGGTCATTCGTACTTGCTATTTTGGTAAAAAAAAAAATCCGTTCAACCCAAAAAAAAAAAAATCAGCTTTTCTTTATTTTGGTGAAGAAGGAAGAGCAGCAAAGCTGTACTATGTGGGAATGAAGTAATGGCCGGCCTCAAGTCGGCAAGCCAGAGTTTGGAAAGGCTGTAAAGGTTGCACCATCTATGAGCAATGGCGGCAACCAGACAACTGGCAAGCCGTTTGTCTGATTCCCGCCGTTGCTCATAAATGACGGTAGCTGTCCGAAGCGGTGTGTCGACATTTATTGCTGACAGACACGATCCTGGGAAAACTAGCCCTTAACAGCTCCGCTGTAAGTAAAAAAAAAAAAACAATGACAGCACGTGTGACGCATTGGCCTTTGAGGAGGCTCGTCAAAGCCCCCTTCAATGGCTCGGCCTCGCGCTTACAAAAGGAGCTTCGCATGGCTGCCTGAGGCCGTCGTTCTTCCATCACCGTCGAAGGCTCTTTGTTACTTTTTCCTTCTCGGCACTAGGTGGCCGCATTAAATGGTAATTTTAAGCTTTATTAATCAAGTTTACGTTTTCCATTCCTAGCAATATCATTAATAACTGAGCCCTCACTTGTTTACAGAATGCCACAATCAACAGTTGTTGATTCTTTTTTTTTCTTCTTTGGGCCGGAATACACGCGACCGCTGTAGCCCGCCCAATTTAAATCAACGTATATTCACACACGCACACACGCAGACAATCCCTTTCGCCTGTTTTAATATCGAGCCTTTGGAAACCAAATGGACCATGTTTCAAATAAAGAGGACACCAAGTGGAGAAAGCTTGAACTACGGTGGGCGTGGAAGGCGTTTCTCCTTCCGAAAGCCTATTGCACTCCGTGCTTTCACCGCCATTTGAGGAGCACCTGCTCACGGCCCAAACTCTGGAAAGGATTCATTCCTGCAATCCGCGGCCCCGCCAATCGGCCTCGTCAATTGACGAGGACAGGAAAACGTTCAACCGATAAATAAAATCTGCGCGGTGACACCGAGCACATCAGTGTCACATCGCAAACTTCATTATTGGCCTCTTCACTACCGGTGTCACATTCGTGGACATATTAAGCTGGGCTCTAACTTTTTAGTCAGATAGTTATCTCAATCCAGAGCCTTTTTTCTCCATATGTGCACATCGTGTATGCGTTCCCTCCAAGAGATGGCGCTAGCCGTCCACTTAACGTTAAAGGAAAAAAAAATTTAAACATTATAGCTTGTAACTCAAGCTGCATAAGCATCCACAATCTATTACAGCATTTCTAATTACGTTTAACATTTTTGTGGAAATGTTATGGATTGCACATGAAGACAACACCCTAAGGTGTTGCTTCAAAGGTGTAGAGAATATCGGCATAAATGTGTTTACAAAATAATCGTGCTCTAAATTTAGTGTCTACGTCTGTGGGTAAACGTTGTGACCGGCGAAAGCCATTTTTTTTTTTTGTGCTTTACATCGAACGTTTTCACCAGAGAAATTTTTAAGAGCGGTGCGGATCTCTCGGACACACAGGAGTAAAATTTTATTATTTCCATTCATTTTCGATTTATCATGAAGCAGGTAGTCCCACTGATAAAAGCGAGCACGACGAATCCCCGCCTGGTGTAAATGAACACCAGACCACCAATGAATCAAAAATAAAACTCGTGCAAAAAAAAAAAAAAGAAACTGAAAGGTTTTATTTCGTTTTTGCCATTTTACGAGGGAGATTATGCACCTTTCGCATAAGGGCGCAGCCATCTTGAATGTTTTCACATCTGGTACACGTTAAGATATTGTTTTAATACCTCCACGCCGCTGAAAGGTGTTCTCGAAGAATGCGTGATTGTCAGATTTTTGTTTTACCTCACCTATAATTTTGCGGACAATCCAGATTGAAATGTGTTATTATTTTTTCGTCCCGCGTACCACACGTAGAAACCAGGTGATTGATAACGAAAGTAAACAGAAAACGTCTATAGTTTTTTTGTTTTTTTTAATGTTTTAATGAAAATTTATTACTGGAAATGAAGATGCTCTAGAGCAAGGCCATCAAGGTCTGCTGCCTCTTTTCTAATATTTTCTGAAGTATTTACGGGGTATTTTCGGAAGAGTTCCATAAAGACACATACATGTATTTTGTGGAACAAACGTAATTATCGCTGCATCAAAATCAACATAAGTGAAGCAATGAAGCTTTCAGGAATACAATCAAAGTGCCATAGCTGGCAGGGTGGCCAGATGCGGCCGAGCGAATAAGCAAATAGTCGTCCCCAGCCAAGCCCCAAAAAAGCGACGTGACCTTCGTGAAGAAGCCCAAAACAAGCTGAAGTTCAATAAATGTACACGTTCTTGAAAATAGCTCATTAATAATAAAATGAGAAAGAGAACTGGCTCAGAAGGCGAACTCGCTGAAATACGAAGTCAGCGTGCCATGCCACTATCCGCCGGATAGAGGCATGGCACGCTGAGTAACATGCCGGCTTGAGCTCCAGTTCTGGTATCGTTCTTGGAGGCGACGATTTGGTGAAGCCCATGGTAGTCAAACTTGCACTGGAAAGTGGCCGAGAGTTCCTCACGTGGTTTTCTGTTGTCATCTGCTGAATCAGGTCGGCATGATGAGCGCGGATCTCGCACTTGCACGCTGCTTTTTTATCGTCTTCGGTGACTGGTCGCAGCCAGTCCTTTAGCTGTGTTTCCTTTCTCATTCTTTGCAATATCTTTTGCCATACTTCGACCACTTCAAAGCCATTTTGCGCAAAATACAATGGCAACTAGACACGACGACCGCGACTGCCGACTGGCAAGATGGGCAAGGGGCCAAAACATTTGTGAATGGGTAGTAACTGTCGTGTACTTTGTGACGGACGGTATCTTGCGCCACCTAACCGCGGCGCCAAACGGTCATGCTGTTTTTCGCGTTTTTGACGACAAACGCACTGTCAATGAGCATGACGAGCAATAAAATAACATTATTTGCTCGAAAAACGGGAATAAGCCCAGAAAAAACGCGACAAGCGACTGGAAAAATTTACCAGCGACTTTGTGAAAAAAGGAGCCCAAATCCGCTTATAATAAGCGGAACTGGCCACCCTGATAGCTGGACACCCGTGAAATTGGCTTTGGTCATATTCCAGAATGTGCCGACGACAACGCATGCAACGCAGACACAAGAACTGCAGCAAAAAAGGTCGAGTAAAATGCATGACATATAATGCCTTTCATTGCCTGCAAGCAAATAATATACTTTTAGAGCGCAGCTCTTAGGTGCCCGTTTCCGGCTTGAGCGGCGTCGGCGTCGCCGTCGGCGTCACCACGCGGTGCATTATGGGACGCGTGACGACACCGATGACGTCATCAGGGACGCCACTAATGACGTCATCAGTGACGTCACTAATGACGTCATCGGCATCCGCATCGCCATCGTCACTGATGACGTCATCAGCATCCGCATCGTCATCGTCACTGATGACGTCACTAGTGACGATGACGACATCAGTGACGTCAATGATGACGTCATCGTCACGTGACCTCACAGGGGTCACGTGACCCCCTTGAGGTCACGTGACCCTTGTGAGGCGACGGCTACGCCGCTCGGAGGGAGGGGTAGCAAACTGGATGAGGAGGTGAGGAGGAGGGAGGAAGGATATACCTTCCCCTCAGTACCCTTTCTCTCCTCCTCCTCAAGAGCTGCACTCTAATTCGGAGTTACAGGAAGATGTAAACGGTTTTCATTTTTTTTTGGCTTTAATAACCATCAGAACTAATGTCCATATTCGTGGACAACCATGTTTGCCTTGAAAAAGTCAAACTAGATTTATAAACATAGTAACCCTGGTGCTAGGGGACAAAAAGGGAAGGACGGACATGAAACTGCGAACACAGCTAAATATTATTTTTTTAGAACACCTCCTTAAGTAGGCCCACAAACCCACAAGAAGACACACGCTGCCCAAGGTCACATACTCGTGACAGGTGAGACCCAAGAACAAGAGAACAAAAGACAGGCTGCCCGAGGTCACACATCTGTGACAGGTAAGAACCAAGGCCAGAGAACAAAGGACCCCGACGACTGACAAGAAAACACTAGTTTGTAAGGACACTGGAGAGCCCCGAAAAACGCACGCACACTCTAAAGGCAAGCCACCAACACAAAGGAACCAACAATATAAGCACTTCACCCACACCCCTCCCCCGACCAACAACCAACCTAAAGTTTCCCTAAACAAAATTAAGTGTTAAGAAACGTTTTATTTGTATTGTTAAGAGCAACGGACATATTGCTAAAACATCCGCTATAGACGCTTTTCAGCAGCTGTGCATGGACGCCGCCATAACTGGCCTTCAGTTTTTGCTTCCTCTTATTTCGTTTAATTCACTTCATCATTACCATAGCACTCCAGGTTATTGCCATATTAGATTCAACTGTGTCCTTTCTAAAGCATCGGCCTTTGTAGAGGATCGTCAACTACCGTTTTAGTTGCTCGGCATCTCGGTAAGACAGGAGAGGTCAGCAATGGCGGCTGTAATTTGTTGCGTGTGTAAAGCGTCTATTCCTTGAAATCATCAGTGACTCCTTTACAAGACGTTTGTAGAGGTCTCTTTCCTTACATAGAATCTCAGTAGCTTGCCACGCAACACAACAATCAACACACTGGGACATGTGTTTGGCCAACTCGGAAGCCTCATTGCTTTTTACAGCGGAGCTGTTAAGGGCTGGGTTCCCCAGGATCGTGTTCGGTATGTCGACACAAACCTACCTAGACAGCTACCGCAATCTATAAGCGACGGCGGCAAGCACACAACCAGTCTGGTATCCGCTGCCGCTCGTAGATGGCAGCAACCTTTCCAGCTATGATAGAAGAATTGGTAGTTGGGCACGTTGGTGGGAATTCATCCTAGGAAACAGCGCGGAAAAAAGACGACGACGAAAAAGAAGCACACGTAACGAGCGCAGCGCTCGTCAGGTTTCTTTCTTCGTCCTCGTCTGTTTTTCGCGCTGTTTCCTACGCTCTTCTCAGTTTCTTTTTGGACCAACGATGGGGTGGCCGCGCGCGGCTGCGGAAGGAGCGGGGACGTACGGAACAGCGCGAATGGGCCCGCAACCGCCTCAGCGCTGCTGTCGCCTCGACTTCCACTGCGTCCAGCGCTTCAGATTCTCTTGCCAAAGAGCACATCGCTCGCCTGGAAAGCCGCCGCCGAGAACAGAACCTGCGATGTAAAGGGCGCCGGCGGGCCAACGCCACGGACGACGATCGTGCCACGGAGGCCAAGCGCAAACGCGAGGCCCGGCGACGACTGCACTCCACGCCGGCTGAACAGTTCCCGGGTGCGACGGCGAGGTTCCGGAGGGAGTTCGTGGAGAACCCGCTGGGCGTCACGTGTGCCGTGTGCGACCGACTCGGGTTCGCCGGAGGCGTATATACGATCGGCGGCATGTCGGACGAGAAGAAGCGAAAATCGGGCGCGTGCGCGTTGCGGCAGTGTGTCGAGTTCGGCTCCGCTCGTCTTCCTTCTTCACGAGATGGAAAGACTGAACTTTTTTTTAACAGCTTTCTTCTGTTCACACAGTCGGTCATTAATTCACCTAGCAGTCTGAACAACAGAGCAAGAGCCACACTTTGCCGGGAATTTCGTACACTAAACCAAGATCACAACTCACAGAAGGTTCCCTATTATTCTTACTATACAGCCACATCTCTCCGCCAAAAAAGGAATTAATCTGTCCAGACGAAAATCGGGTTAAAAAACTATAAAAAACGTAGTATTTTGCTTCTAAGACTAAGAAAGTTACTTGAGGAATATTTGGTATAGTTCTAGTCGCAGTCGGGTATCGATGTCGGAAGCTTTTTCTAATCTGGTTGAGCTTTATTTAAGGTCTACTGTGACAAACATTCAAAGTAAGTGGTTTTTGTGGAAAAGTGGTATCTGCATAGGTTCCCGGATAGCGCCTGCTCTGTCTGAAATTATCTAAGGATTATTGATCTCTCTGTGGCCGAATTGCTTACACAGTTTTCTGCTAGTATTGTGCTAACACACAGGTGTGTAGACAATATTTTGGTTCGCACCTTGGACTCGGCTGTTGGAGATCTTGTCAAGGCCCGGTTTTTGAAAGCGGTTCCTGAGTTATTCTCAACGGAAAAGGCCCAGGGTGGTTGTCCACAGTTTTTAGGAATCCATTTTTTTGTTCAAAATGGTCTGTGTTGGGAGTTTGGAAAGCAGGACTCTAAGCCCCTTTTGTCTAGTTTTAGTTGTCATTCGAGAATCGTAAAGCATGGTGTGGTCGAATTGGGGCTGGTTAATTCATTGAAATTCTTATGTGTACACCGTCTGGGTCCGGGGTTAACAAAATATCTACGTAGAGTGTCCTTGGTATTGATTTTGTATCTTCTATTATCCTTCGGTTGCTAAAGTTCTGTGATGTCGTTGAAACTTGAAACTGACTCGATTGTTTGAGAAACATTGTCAGTCTTCCATATTTCCATGACGTCTCATAACCTGAAAGCCTTGGCGTGGAAGTTCTGTGTTACAGTAGTTTTTAAACTCGAGTTTCATCTGGACAGATAAACTCCTTTTTTTGGCGGATATATGTGGCTGTAGTAAGAATCATAGGGAACGTTCTGTAAGTTGTGATCTTGATGTAGTGTACGAAATTCCCGTAAAGTGTAGTTTTTGCTATGTTGGCCAGACTGCTAGGTGTATGAATGACCGACCTTGTCAACACACAAGCAGTGTTAAAAATAGAAACGAGGCTTCCGAGTTGGCCAAACACATATCCCACTGCGGTGGTTGTTGTGTTAAGTGGCAAGATACTGAGATTTTGTGTAAGAAAAGAGAACTCTTTAAACGTCTTATAAAGGAGTCACTGATGATTTCAAGGAATAGTGGATGTTTTAGCAATATGTACGTTGCCTTTATTAACCCCATTAAAACTTTTCTGAACACTTAATTTTTTAAGAGACTTTAGGTTGGCTGTCGGTCGGGGGAGGGGTGTGGTTGGAGTTTTTATCTTGTTGGTTCCTTTGTGTTGGTGGCTTGCTTTTAGAGAGTGCGTGGATTTTTGGGGCCTTCCAGTGTCCCTACAAACTAGTGTCCTCTTGTCAGTTGTCGGGGTCCCTTGTTCTCTTGTCTTGGTTGTTACTTGCCACGGGTGTGTGACCTCGGGCAGCGTGTGTCTTTTGTTAGCTTGTTATTTGTTCTTACCAGCCACAGGTGTGTCACCTTAGGCAGCGTGTGTCTTCTTGTGGGTTTGTGGGCCTATTTAAGGAGGTGTTCTGGAAAATAAATTTTTAGCTGTGTTAGGAGTTTCGTGCCTCTCCGTCCCTTTTAGTCCCCTAGCTCCAGGGTTATTATGTCTAAGTTTAACCAGCTCGCCTTCCTACTTGCTTTAACTAGATTTATAACTATTTTCACATATACTCTCGACGAAAATTTCAGTTAAATTTGTCAGCTTTTTTATTTCATTGTTGGAAGGGAAAAGGATAGGTATATGGCGGTAACTAGCTCCCCTGATGTTCCTCGTGGAAACATGGACATTGGAGAATCTAGCGTGTGCCCTCAGTCGGAGGTATTCCGGCTAAACGAATAAGGCGCAACAAGCCTCGTAACAAGCGGTCTCCTAGGAGGAAAAGACGTCATCTTCATCTTACCAGGGTTGTAGCGATCATCGCAGGTGAAGAAGCCCCCGTGCTTGCAGCCACAACCGTGGCCCCAACGGTCGTTGGTGACCACCGTATCTCTCACTGGGCTGCACAATGCGACAGCGTCAATATCTGTTATAGCCCTCCCCTTCCCCTAAAAAGGATGACTAACATGACACCTCGTGGGACTATGCATCTCCCTGAGTTCTCACGCTTTTACAAAATAAACTACTGCTAGAGAGTCTGAGTAATGTCCGCGCGACCGTCCCTTCTCGATTTTGTAATTACGGAAGCATAGACTTGAGTGCAAAGTGCGTGTGCTGGCAAGGAGTAATTTAAGTGTCAGTCCTTGAGCACGGCCGCTGCGTCACACTTCTCGTGCACCGTCGGTAGGGCCTGGCGAAACCCGCGAAATCAACGGCAGTTCAGTGAGGTATTTTCTTCGTCACCAACTGCGTTATGGAACCGCTTGTGACTGGCTACGAGGAAATACTATGCCGGATTTCAATGGTGACCGGGGGCCGCGCAGCACGAGAAAAGCGTCGTGGTGAAACGCCAGCAGCTCAACGCAACACAAAGCAACGGAGCAAACGCAAGAGAATGAAGACCCATTTCATACCATCGCATTTGACTATACCTTTAGCTAGGTTGCGAAGACGCCCATACTCTAAAAAAAGAAGGTGTAGCCACTACACTCCTGGTCAGATATACGACACCCTTAAACTTCAGATCCACGTACAGCGTACTGACGTCGAACTGACGGCCCCAACTTTTACGAGAGGGTTGATGCCCCGGTGGGATATGACATATTAAACAACTAAAGTACCTATCAAAAACTACAAAAAAAAAATCACTGATGTTTTCCAGCGTGGCGTACGGGAGCGCCAGCCAAAAAGACGGGCTGCGCCTTCTCACGGAGGGTTGCCGCTCTCAAGACCCACGCTTTACGCATGCGCTTCCTTTCTTGTTCGCGGTCATATTTTTTTTTTTCGCTAGCTTCTGTTCGACACCCACGAGATAACCGGGACTGGCGCAAGGTGCCGCGAAATTTCATCTGTTGAATGCGCGAGCTCCGTCACCCATCACGGTGGCTGAGGCAGACACGCGGCATGATGGCTGACAAAGCGGGACCATGCGCCGGTCCCGGTTATCTCGTGCACGTCGGGCGGAAGCGAGTAAAAAAATACATGACTGCGAGCACGAAAGGAAGCACATTCTCGAAGCGTGAACCTTAAGGACGGCCGCTCGCGTCAGAAGGCGCGACCAATCATTTCGGATGACACCCCCGCACCCCGCAAAATATTGCCGCCTACTGTACGTGCATACATTAGCTATTATAATAAGTTCTACAACTCGGCTGTCGAGCCGCTCGGGAAAGTTGGTACCGTCGGTTGAACGTCAGTGCGCTCCACGTCCAACCGAAGTTGTGAGGTGTCTTATACGTGACAAAGGGTGTATAAGATATATGTCCTTTTTTTATATGTGCAAATACAGAACCGCTATTATCTTGGAAGCCCGTACTTTGTGCGAAGTGTGGAAATTAATTCGAGGAGTTGCAACTGGCACTTGGCATACGAAGCCCTAAGTGTCGATAACCTACATTCGTATCACAGTGGGAGAAAGGTAGGGTAGTCAAAAGTAGTTGCTGTCTACAGCTAAGGCTGGTTAAAGGTCCCATAACTAGTCTTAGCAGTTACAGTTACAGTCTCTACAGTTACTGTAGACTATTCGTCCTAAATTATTTCGTACTTGCTAATAGTTTTATGTCTTAACTGCAAGAGTCTGAAATTGTCTTGATGGTTCTAAATAAACAAAAGTCTTGGCACTACTCAGTGGCATAACCTATTTCCCGAACGGCGTGGTTTTCTCTAAATACGTAAAAAAAAAAAGAAAAAAAAAAGATAGTGGTTCAACCGACGTATTACGGCAGCGACCAAAATGTCAACGCTGAGGTGGCAGGTGGAAAGTGTTTTGATAGCGTCGCAGATATGAATTACTTCCTGGCGGAAAATTAAAACATGTACGCTGCACGAGGAAGTTATCACAAACACAATATGGGCATTTGTTTTCCTTTCTTACTGTGACAAGGCATTGTCGAACACAATATTTCACCCCCGTCTAGATTAGTGTTACAGGTTTTGATGACCCCCTTTCAGGTCAACGAGAATAGCAGGAAAAACCGGTGTTCGCTTGATCGTGCCAAGTGTGTCGTACTCTGCGTACGACTGTACTCACTGTCTGACAAATTGTCTCTACGTTAAATAGCCGTCCTTTATTGTAGACCAACTAACAGTTGGTTTGCGGCTGCATCCGTGTCAACACACCTGTCATTGTAGAGCCAGGCGAGGAACTCGCGGCTTTTCCAGTAGTCCGCTGGTCCCGCAGCGCCGTCTGACCAGACCACATCAGGCTTGTATCGCTTTACCAGTTCAATCAACTCCGGCATCGTTTTCGTCTGGAATTGGGAGCGAAACTTGCTGACCCGTTCGTTACAGCATAACTACCATACATATACGCACACATTTATGAAAGTGCATGTAATTTATTTCTGCACGTTTTACATTTTATGACGTCGTGCCACATTACAGAAAATGTTATGGGCACAGAAATAAAGGCATGATGATGATGATGATGATGATGATGATGATAATGAACGCCACCTATGCGGTCGACGGGTCGAATCAACCGGCCCTCCGAGGCCAAGAGTGATGGGACGGTGCTGGGACACGACTCAGAAAGGGCGAACTTAAAGGGGCGCTGCAACGATATTCAATTGGAATGTTTTTCACTTCACACGCGCTTACTGGCACTAGTGGGACTCAAGGATACTCGCACGCAACGCCACTGACCAAGAAACTCCTTTGTTGCGCTGTAATTTCGAGGACAAAACGGAGTGTTTTCACTCAATCTCTCCTTCGCGAAACCTGATGACGTAGCTGGGCGGTAGCAGTACCGCCCAGTGACGATATTTGAATGGGGCTCATAGATTGGATCCGAGCATGGCGTGGACACTCGATTTGGGATCGTGATAATCGATAGCTCGAGACGGATTCGGGTAGTGTCCTGTGTCCAATCTCTGCAATGACGACAGCAGCCGAACCATAACAATGTCTGGAACTCGGCGCGTGTCCTCTGCCTTGCCAACCCCAGCGCATGACTATGATCAACATTGGCGGCATATAATCGGCTCCAGATCACGTGGCCGCTTGTTCTGGCTGCAAGTTGAGGGGGTGAACTCTGCTCGTTTTTCTTTATTTTTTTCTGCGACTTCGATTGCGTGTGGTGAAAAACGAACGGAGGATTTCACAGGCCATTAGACAGTTTTAGAGGACCGTACGCTATAGCTTTGCGTACGCAAGGAGATTGCGGGTCGTCAGTGCGCATGCGCAGAACGCAATAGAACGGCTAGCGTATTGCGCACGCACGCAACGCTGGGGATTTTGCGTTGCTGGCTTGCGGGCCTTGCGGGACGCTCTCGAGAGATCTCGGACCCAACGAGAGCGCCAGTTTCAAAATGGCGGTTGCCTCGACTGGCGCAGCAAGGGCAACGTGGTGTTTTCGAAGTTCGGTGTCACGTGAAATTGCGCGGTGTTCAGCTCGGCGATTCTTTCAGGGACCTACCGCGGTCGAATCAGATCGCCCTGCAGCTGAAGGAGTGCACAGTGGAAATGTTCGCCGCTCGCAGTGTGCGTCGACGCTGCGATCTGCTCAACGCTAAGCCTATTCCCACAGTTCATCGCCGACGGACGAACGACTCTAAAAGAAATCACCAAAGTTCTCGCTATGCACTGGACATCAGGGTTATGAATTTCATTCCGCGATAGCATTGATAAAAGGTGCCGTTTCCACGGGACGACTGACGGAAGCTCCGTGATCGAATATGGCTACGCACTCGTACTCGTAGCCTCTGTACACCGCAGAAAAGCGCGCTTGACGAGGCAGCTGTGGCTTGGTTTAATCTGAAATAAAATGATTGGACACTTTTTCTTTTTCAATATATCTTTCCAGGAGCATGTGGTTGCGCTATAAGCACGCAGAACTCTACGACTCTAGCAAATTTAACCAAGATCACGCGCGGTGCTCACTCGAAAACGTAACGCACAACTAAATTTGGTCCGAGCAGGTCATTTTTAGCGTACGCTATACTATTGCGTATTGCGTACGTAAGATCCAGCAACGCTATTTTAAAACTGTCTATTAACATCAGCGATTCGTACTAAGCGGTATATGCGCAAAATGCAAAAATCGTTGCATCGCCCCTTTAAACATGTTTTCGTAAGCACGGAAACTGAAAAGCTGCAACATTGTTTACTCGGTACGTTAGATCTGTGCAAGCTATCTCAATGAGCTGAAGAGATGTCTTCCTAAAGATGCGAACTGTCGACTTCCTACTTTCAAATACAATAGCAGTTTAAATATCATATAATTTCCTTCTTACGGATACTTCTACCGAGACCACCAACGAAAACACAGATTGGTTGTCGCAAAGGCCACGTGATCGCTTACGCCAGCCAATAGGAGTGTGGTGACGCCCGCGAGGGAGCTCTACTAGCCCTGCTGGGACGGTTGCAATGACCACCGAAGTTTGAGATGAAAAAAATCATTTCATTCTGCAAAATTCGGTGGGGGGCGGGGGGGGGGGGGGGGGAAATTAAGAACTTTTCGTCGATAGTAAGTTGCTGATTGCGGGCTTTGCGGGCGCGTGTTTAATTCATGCTAAAAGTTACGGCACGAGAGTCCGCTAAAGCTCCGGCTAACAACGCAACGCTATTTATTGCGAACGATCTACGACAGCCTCAAATCGGCAGTCATATTTAGCGGACAGTGGTCACGTGACGGGGTCAAAGTCGAGGGGTCACGTTACCCCGGTGACGTCATTTTTCAATTGCTTTTTCATGTCGGTCACTTTTATGGGATCTGTCTTTTCCTACGTGGCCACCCTGTCACATGCAGCGTTGATAACGATGTGCTGAGGTTCTTAAAATTCAATGGTACTTGCAAAATGCAATGGTACTTGCAAAAAATTTGAATAAACATGTGTGATCTCACGAACAAAAATAGTCTGGTAATTTTATCACGTCTTGGATGAGAAGCTCTGAACGATTTTGGAACGTATAGGTTTTTCGCTGCCTTCACTTATATCAGCAAGTAAGGATTATAATAACAAAACAGGTACGATCGAGATTGTTCCGGCAGTTTCTGGATCTGCACCGTAAGAAAGTAAGACACGGTTACTTTCAAACCAAATGAAGTGTCCTATAATCTAAGTAAAGTTCGATAACATTTTCCTAACTTCAAGGGACAGTTGGCTTTTAAAATCTAAAACTACGCCACATTGAAGGAAATATTTTTGTCAATTTTTTCGGCACGTGACTCCAACATTTGAAGTTTCATCACTTGAACAGTTATCCAGTAATGCCGAGTTTGTGACACACTTTTTTTTTTGTTTGTGTAGGCCTGGGAGTCAAGAAAGAATATACATTATTCAAAAAATTTCAGAAAGGTCGCTCTATCATGAGTTAGGTGCTCAGCTTGCGTGATAAACAAATGCGCTCTGAAAAAAAAGGTAATATTATTCTTAACGACTGCATTCGCAATACGGCAAAGCTGCATTCCTCGTAAATTTAAAAGGAAAAACTCGGGTGTATTTGCAATATTGTTTACCTTCACGAAGAAATCCGTCGTAAAGTTGTTGTTCTTGTCCAGGCGGTACAGAGGATTAAACCACTCAAATAAAGAATGATACAAGCCGAAGACGAGATGGGTCTTCGACCGGATGGCGTTCGCTAGCTCGCCTGCGTTTTGTGATAGAAAGAGAAAGAAAAAAAAAACGCGTATTTCTTGCGACAGCCACAGAATTGCGCTGCTTTGCCAATTTTAGTCTCACTCTGTGCATACAAATGGCTCAAAGCACAGCCCCGCTCAGAGAAATACATGACTTATGAGAACTTTAGGAGGTAACATCTGCCTAAATTGTGCGGCCCAAGCACAAACAGGAGAGGCGTAAATGAGCATTGGCTCAAGTATAAAAAAAGTGTTTGAAGGGTCAAACTGTGCAAACGATATTTGCATCAGTTGGATACATTAAGAACATCAGGCAGAGGTACAAATGACTGCCGAAACATTTTAGTTATTACCAGATTTAATGGAAACCTGAAAATTATATCACTTTTGTGTCAAATAAATCTTGTTTCTAACTAAAATTGTGTGGGGGGCTGACTGCCATATGTCTATGCTTTTTTATACAACTTATTTTATTTTTTCCAACTCACTCGTTCCCATTTGTTGTATTATTATTTGCGGCGGAATGGATGAGGTGCTCCATAGGGGTAGACGATCGTGAAAGAAAAATATGCAGTCTCATGGGACACAATAAAATACATTACAGTAACAACCATATAAGTGCTTATAGTAATCGGATTGATATCAGTCAACTATAGCTGGTTGATAAATGCATGCATCTTCCATAAATGACACCAAACAAAGAGAAGTATTCCCTGAAAGAAGGATCAAAGCAAATAAGCACGTACTCAGTGTAATGAAAAGATGACCATTATACCAACGGCTTTGTTCGTAGTGTTGCTCTTAATGCGCACTACCATTGCGCCCTATATAGAGGGAAAGCCTGCGCCTTCACTTACAGGAGAACAGACAGCCAGGTTAGGGTACAAGAGAGAGTAGGAAAGGCAAACGAAAGAGAGATCATATTGAAGGTTGCGCCACGAAGGAGTCGCAAAGCGACCAACTGCTCTTTTAGTTTTGTATATTACACAGAAACGAGAAAAAGAAAAGAAAGAACGACCGGCTGCTTACTTTCCTTTTTTAGTGGAAATATGAGGAACGCCTCCTAGACTAGACTCACCTACGACATCTAGACTCGTAAACGGCGCAATTGAAAATAAGTTAAAAATAACTATTTGAAAATGAAGGGGATCCATCCAATGGAAATGCATTAGTAGTGGTTTTTTCTCGCCCCCTTTTCCTTGTCATTCGTTTATCCCCGCATTCCTGTCGGCTAATAATGCCTTTCCTCTTCGCTTCCGTCGCGATGCCTCTGTGGCAGCAGCCAAACGACGCTTATGACCCTCCTCTCTCTCGACTTGCCGTTGTCGAAGCGTGACCTTGGCTTTCTTCCGTTGTCGTTCTTGAATACGGTCAGCCATATCACTCGTGGAGAGAACCACATCTTTGGAGCTGCAACTGAGCTGGGCCGCATTCTAAAGCGGCGCGGCGCTTGCTCGTCTCTGGCTCCGCGCCAGCTGTGCGATACTCGTATTGATGCGAAGCGCCGACGTGGGCAAGCGTCACCCTCCTTCTTTCTCCCCGCTACCGTGGTGAGACATTAGAGAGTTTTAGGGAACCGGAACAAAATACGATCGATAAACAAAAACGATCGATACCTTGGATCGGGCGTGTGGACCGATCGTGTGCCCTAAAACGGCTTTGGGGGAACCGTATTTGCAGACAATACCAGACGATCGGTACAGGTCGCGCCCCCTGGCAACGGAAACCTGCATCCGCCTCATCGAGAAAAAACAAATTTGCGTGTGTTTGTACAAATCGCAGAAACTCAAGTAAAGAAAGATAGCACCCTAAATATATAGAGAACCTAAAATATTGTATACCTACTTATAGTTCGTCTCGTTTTTTTACTGGAATGAATGCGCTTCCGTAATACAAAACCTGGCGCACCACGGCGTGTCGCCCCTAGCAGAGCGAAGTTCTAAAATGTTCGTCTGCTAAAGAAGCAGACGAGCTTTCCGACAACAATGGCGCTCGATCTTTTTGACCATGACTTGGAGTTGGCTCTATTCAGCGAAAACAATTTAGAAAAAGTGATTTTGTACGACTGTCTGCGCACTAAGTGTGGCGTGAGTCTCTTTTGAACTTCCCGCTTTCTATAAGCGAGGCATGAACGCGCGTGCCGTGGGGCCCGTGACTTGTGCAGGGGCACGAGGGAATAAACATTCTTTTTGGTTTGCCGTGACACGGAGTCAGTCGCATTTCCTTCGGTTGCCACCGAGCACCGATACAATAAGAGAAGCCGCTTGTTGGCGGCAAGGCATAGGACGTTCAACTTGGCGTAGCTTTTGAATATACAAAAAAGTTGTGATACCAGGAATGATGTGCGGATACCACGAATGATGTGCCAGCGTATTTGTTTTTTTTTTCAGTTTACCAGATTTATATACTTGGGGAATAAAATAATGCCTCGACCGTACATGGTAGCTTGTTTTCTAATAAATCATGCGTTCTCAGCGGGCAAGCTTTGCTGTTTTACATCAGCCAAATATGATGTTTACACCAACCACGTCCCGATATGCTGAAACGGTGCCGAAAGCAAACTCGATTTGGCTCAAGAACACGCTCGCGCGCGCTTATCATCGACATTCGAAGTCGTCTGCTAGCGATCCTGTCTCTTTCCCTCGAGGCCCAATGCAGGATCGAGTACAAAGAAAGCTATAGACAAATAAAACTAGAAATATTAAATCTCGAAAAAAAATACAAAAATAACCAAAATATACACACTTTCTCAAGTTGATGCGGTCAGTTTTCTTGTACAAAGATAATTCAATTCAATTTTCAATTTAATTCCATTTTTATTTTCAGATCAAGTCATACAAAATAAAGAGCTGGCCCACAAAATCAGCATTCTGCTTGTATGTGGGGCCAGGCGACCAGCTAGAATACATGTTGTTACAAAAAAAAAAAACAAAAAAAGAAAACACTCTGCAGCCCAAAAAAAGAAAGGAAAGAAACCTAAAATTAGCAGCACAAATAAATACAAAAAGGAAAACTTTAGGGCATAAATAGAGGTGTTTATAGCCAAGTCTATTCACGCAACCATGAAATAAAAGTAAGAAATATCTCCAACGGTTAGGCTACGATATCTACAGCTCAGATGCTTGACACCAATTCCTTAGTTTCCTTTTTAGTACCCTAGTGGATTCTATATTCATGAGGTACTCTGGGAGTTCGTTAAATAAGGAAGGAATGTAATGATTTCTGTTTTTCTTTCCATACAGTGTGTATATTTTTGGAATGACGTATCTTACAGTACGTCTCAAATCTCTATTTTTATTTACGAGGAGGTCAATTCGTTCCTTCGCTCCTCGCAACGAGAAGTTCTTTTTCAACGCTGCGTCATTCCAAAGTGCTGGAGTGAAAAAGGAGTAGCGCCTAGCAGCTCCCGAAGTAGAAAGATGTATTCTGCTGTAAACCGCCTGCGAGGAGGAGGCGGAGGGACGGAGATAGATGCGGCGCTCATGTTGCTCTCTTACGGTACAGATAGCAGACGATCACGGTCGTACACCCGCGTACCGATCGTTGCGCCGTGTACGGTACGACCACGAAGAAAATATAAAGCAAAACCTGTAACTTCACTGCTGTGCACCTATTAAAACTATCACCCAATATTCAAAGGGCTCGTTTTATAGGATATATGTGATTAGCATTTGTACAGAAATTTTTAATTCATGCAGCATGTTTAAACTAAAAGGTATCCAGAGCCATGATGCAGAAGGCTGCTGCCCACTCTGTTGCCACTACAGAAAATCCTCAGTCATAATAGCAGCTGTAAAAAACGGGTGATAAGTGCTCGAAATGCACATCCAATGTTTGTAAAATACAAAAAAAAAAAAAAAAAAAAAATATGTTAAAAAAAATGTTTGGGCCAGTGGGATTCGAACTCTCCACTGTTGCTCCACTACGAGTTCAACAAATCGTCGCTTCAATCCACTGAGCTACCGAGCAGACGACTTTTAGCCACACTAAACACTAATTTATTTCAATTAAAGAAGTCGAATTGCGTTTTGGTCTTTATTCTTCTTCTTATTTGCTGACTCAAACTTTATTGATTTGCTGTCACACATGGCGCTCCTGCCAGGCACTGCCACGAGTTATTTTCTTCATGTTTGGAGCCACGGCACGCTCCCTCCGCCAGCGAAAGAGCCGTTTTGCTCACCAAGCGAGACTGTCCATGTCGGCCATTGGCCGTGCCGGTCGTGCCTTACGGTTCGGCCAGCGCATTACGGTAAAATCGCAGAAGACAGGCGCATGCGCAGTTCGTACCGGAGGGCCCATCGTACCGTATCGGATGTGCAAAAACGGTTCCCTAAAACTCTCTATTGAATTTGTAAACACGATACCTCCTTACCACCCCACTCTCCTCGCGACGCCATGCATGGCGCTGACAAACGGACGCACGAACTGACGCCGGCGGCTTTTCGCGAAAACGAGCGTTCTAATGCTAACACATCAAACAAAGTAAGATCTGCGGAAAGTGCCCGTGGATCTCTGATGGCTGCACCGTTCTTTTATCCTTTTCTGTCACGTGTGTCATTCTGTCTCTCACACTTTTTGACGGCCGGTCCTGGCATGGAAGGCGCTGTATTTCCCCCATTATAGGAGGCTAGGCCAGCAGTCATACTTCAACTAACTCGTGTTTTCGACAGAAACGTAACCTATCTGTGCATACGTATAAAATGCTCATTGATTTTTATTTTTCTTTAAACGGAGGAATAAATATACGTACCAACTAAATCTCGTTTGGGTCCAACATCCATAGAGTTCCAGTTAAAGCTCACATTAGAGGGCCAGAGAGTGTAGCCCTCGTGGTGTTTGGAAGTGAGAACAACGTACCTGCAACAAGAATCGACCAAAGAGCGAATTAGTTTTAGGTGCCCCATGCTCTGCAAAACTTGATTAGCGCTGACTGCAACACATACGATCGTTGCATTTGTCTACACCTCAGTGCTGTCTGCAAAAGGCCATCGAAAAGTCCATACTCTACGTATACTGTAAACAACTTAATTTTTTGCGAGGACTTAATTTTCGCGGATTCAACAAGTTGTACAATATTGCGAAAAATAGGTCCCGCCTATTTTTTGCACTATTTCTTAAAAATAGTGCGAACACCATCTGCTGCGCTGTCCTCGCGCAACGCAGCAGAGGCTGGTTGCACTATTTCTCCACGGAGCGCGGTGCCGTCATGGCCGAGATGCGCTCCGATTGGAAACTGAAACTTAAAAACCCGTCGAATTTGTCTGGTTTCTCAAAAAGCCGTAAAATGTTCTGCAATTTGTTGATTTAGTGTTTTTCGATGATGCTGAGCAATTTTTTAATTGAAACCATGCCCTTAAACACAATATTAAAAAAGTTAATTACGCAAACGTAATTAACAACATTATTATACCAGTCTTTATTAATTTTCCTAAATAGGCCCCAGGCCCAGGACCAAAACGACACAAGCCTTTTTTGCTGCGACGTGTTGTGTTCGCAATATCGAATTTGTTCACATTTCCTGAAACACCCCGTATATTCATATAAATAAATATATAACGCAGTCTATTGCCATATATAGGAATATGTAGAACCTTATACGGCGTGCTTTTTCTATATTTAGCAGGATATGGCCATGGGTAGTTCCGTTTAAGGCAGCCTTTTCTCATATTTATCCCTGTATGGAAATATCATGTTCCTTATTCGACGCGGACAGTGACTTTTTTTAAAGAAAAAGGCAATGCCAGATATATGTTGTGCCGAACTTTTTTTCTTAAAGATACATATTTACAATACTCTTTTAATTTCAATTCCTAAATAATATTTACGACTGAGCGCAGTTCGGTAAAGAACGTAGTGAGTTTTACACACGGCAAGACTCTTTGCATGTGCTACCAGACTTGCTTACTATACATGAGAGTTTGCGTAATGGTGTATGTTGCGTGTCGGTCCGGACGTGCGGAACAACATGGTTTCCAACAAGAGACCGGTTTAATGTACTCACGGGTGGCTGATCAGCACGCAAAGAACGGACACAGTATGCGAAGCACCGCTATTTATCAGTAAATGGTAAATGGCTCACGCGTACTATACCGCGTTTATCGTCGGTGCGCGGCCTGACACGACAGGATAGTTAATTATATCGCTAGGTTGGTATAAACACGGAGAACCTACAAAGGACGTTCTTGCATGTGCGTGGGATGATAACGTGATTTCCTGCTCGGCAGACGCTACTTCCGGGGCCATTCATGACGCTTTCATTTGGAGCGTTCATGCGATGATGCAGTGCGAAACCGCAGATCTTGTTTAGATTATGTACACGCAGGAGCGCTAATATCCTTCTCTCTCTCTCTCTTTATAGACCGACAGGCGGAGCGGCTCTGTTTACCAACACGGCCGGAAGGCCGTGCCTGCGCGGAAGCTATGTGGGCAAAAGCGCGCGGCTCTGTGTTTTCTCCATTGCGTTGTGTGGCGTGCGCTCGTTGTTGACGTTGTAGGGACGCTTCTAGCTTTATTTGTGAGTCGTATTTCCTGACAAGGCATGTCGTATGCTATGCCCGACTATTTGAGCTCGCTACCCGAGCCTGAACGGCTGCGGTATCGAAACAAACTGTGCGTGGACGACGTTGATGACGAGGACCCGTACGCCGTAAACAAGGCCTGCTGGACTTCCGACGTGAAGTTTCTGCCACCGAAGTCGACGGCTCACGTCGTCGTTTATTTACTTTTTTTTATTTTTTATTTTTTTTCGCTAAGCCAGTTCACGGCCGACACGGTGCAGGCGTACAAGTGTCTCGAGGCCTACGATTACTTCGAGTCGGTTTCCGCACTGCCGGCGGGATCGGCAGACTTTGGGTCTGCGGAAGTGTATTTATTAATTAAATAAATACACACAGCGTCTTGAAGTCAGGGTATGATATTTTTCCTACCCTCATGAGCACAAGGAATGACAAGCAGTACGGAATGACAAGCAGTAACGCTTTGTCTGTTCTGCAGTTTTAGTGGTCACACGTTACAAGTAACGGCTTTACCAGGAACGCGTTACTTTCTTCAGTAACGTAGCAACCTACTCGTTACTTTTTCGACACAGTAACGGGTAACGTACTTGCGTTACTATTTCAAGTAACGCAGCTACGTTACTCGTTACTACTTCCCAAGTCTTAAAGCAATGACACTTAAATTTTTTCTGTGTTTTAAGGCGTCAAGCCACGTTTTTCTTTGCGTTTTTTCTCGTCAGTATTTAGGTGAAACCGTAAAAAGAAATAAAGTAATTATGTTCAGTTTCTGCATTAACACAATGTTTCTTGATATATGAGCTTATGGATACCTGTATTGACAAAACCGTAAAACGTGTTAAATCGTAACTTTAAAAAAGTAACGCAGAAGTAACGTGCATTACTTTTTATCGGTAGCGGTAACGCGTTCCTTTTATTTTTAGGTAGCGTAGCTCAGTAATGCGTACCTTTTATTTGCAAGTAGCGAGTAACGTATTTCGTTACTTTTTTTCGACAACGTCTACAACACTGCCGTTCTGTCGCCGATCCCCTTCTGCTGGGTAGCACGGGCGTAGCGAGCCTCCGACGAGCGCTTGGCCGATGCTTTGTGCGCGAACACCATGGGAACAAAATCCGGGTGGTCTCGATCAGACAACGGTTTCCCTGCACGTACGCAAGCCTCGGGAAGGAGATTGAAATGGAAGCCGCACTTGCCTTCAAGAAAGTGCTTGCCGCACAAACGGTCATTCGTGCGAGGCGACCATTCTTTTCGATCCACGGATATTATTCACCTTCTATGCCTTTCAGAGTCTGCCGGGAACTTGTGGAAACTCACTCAGCCACTCTTCTTGTACATTTCGGTGCAATTAACGGCAATACAGCTTCGCGGCATGCTGAAATGCTATCACGCCAATGCGAAACGTGCGCACTTTTGCCCACACCCGGCTCCGGCGCGATCGCAGCGCCGCCGCAGCTCCGTGACATCAAGCCCGCGTGTCGGTCTATTTATATATATACATATAACGGGCATGGTGGCGGGAAACCGAAGGCGTGAGTAGATAACTGAGAAGAAAAAACCTTTAGCCGTTGTTGCTGTTTTTGCTAAGGGTTTTTTCTTCTCAGTTATATATATATATATATATATATATATATATATATATATATATATATATATATATATATATCGTTGTCCAAGTAACTAGGCTCGATCTAAAATGGACCGTAAGAATCGACAGCCGCACGTAGCAATCTAAACTTCTCGTCAAAGGTGTATTTAAACAGGTCGGTTTTCTCTTGTAAATTTACAAAGCGTAGCACTCTGTCTGTAAAAAATAAGCCCAAGAAACTTGCCAGGGTCTACGGCGGGCAGCGACGCGGACGACGGGAATCCAGTAGCGGGGTGTGTTTGGCGTTCGTATTGATAGATTGCGCACCTCCTTATCGCGACGAATCGCAACAACCATGGTTTATCGAAATGAACATGATATTTTTTAAATGTTCCTTGAGTTAAAGAATAGATGCGTACAATAAAAGCAAAAGTTAAATAAAAAAAAAAAACGTGTCCGCATAACGACGGCGTTTTCGCTGCCAACGGATTTCGTCTGCGTGGCGTCTGCTATGTTTCGCTGGTCGGCTGCACCTTCGGACGCTGCTCCCGACGCCATCTATCAATACGAACGCCAAACCCACCCCGCTACTGGACTGGGTGGTCTGGGTCGTCACCCGCCGTAGACCTTGACAAGTTTCTTGGCCCTATTTTTTACAGAACAAGAACTACGCTTTGTAATTTTACAACAAAAACCGACCTATGAAATACACCTTTGACGAAAAGCTTAGATTACTACGTGCCGGCGTTGATTTTTACGGTTCATCTTAGATTGAGCCTGGTGACTTGGACCACCATATATATATATCAGTGTGTCGAACCGAAAAAAATACGGCTTCGGTTACGGTTCAGGTTCAGGTAAATTTATTTTGTTCCAGTTCAGTTCCGGTCCGATTAATTCGATCCGCGAACCGGTTCGCGAACCGCTTCGGAAATCATAAATGACAAATTGCAACATCAAAATAAATTACAAATAAAACATCTGAAATCAGCACATACGAAACGGGATACATTGTAGTGTAAGGCTCAGGGATTTCTACCAGGAATGGTTTCTTTATGTGCACTCGAAGGTTACCTCACCGACGTTTACGCATTCGGACTTCATCTAATTGGGTCCGACGCAGTAGCTGTAAAATCCGCCACCTCCTTACAAACCCACTTACAAGTAGAACTCGCTAACTATCCCGCCACCTCGGCGTGTAAGCAATCGAAGGAACAGTGGGGAGAAAATACAGCTTTCTTTATTTGAACTAGCCTTCGGTACGGAACAAGATACGGAATATGAAAAACACTTCACCGAACGCAACGCCAGAAGGACGTAATAGGATAAATATTAAAATAGAAGAGTTCGCTGTCTCACAAATATGTTAGCTTCTAAGTGCCTATACGAAACCGGATGCATTATTATCAAACTCCACAGCCTTTTCTTTTCTCATTCCGATGAAAGCAAGCTTCAAGAACTTGCGCGTTCTAGAAACGTGTTATGAAATGAGCACACAGCAGCATTTAGGATTTACGAGATTGTAAAAAAATAAAATCCCGTGACGCGATTTTTTTTTTTTTGCACAGCTTTTTAATTTTTTTTCTTCCGTGCAAGCCGCGACCAGCGTAATACTGGTTCCTATGTCAAGATTCATGGATGCAGCGTTTGTCAAGATTTATGGATCCAGCGTTTATATTCCTAAGACTGAGTGGAGAAGAAAAATATGTAAGCGAGGTGTGTGTCAGTTGACGGCACTTAAAAATCAAATGGCATTGATAGCACATTCATTGTCAACAGCGCGTGGCCGAACCGTTTTGACATGAGCCGGTAACCGTTATTTTTTGTTCCGGTTCAGTTCCGGTTCGGGTTCATCGCGATCACAACATAACGGTTCGGGTTCGGGTTCAGTTCCGGAAAAAATACCGGTTCGGTTCCGGTTTTCGGTTTGGTTCGGTTCCGGTTCGACACCCTGATATATATATATATATATATATATATATATATATATATATATATATATATATATATATATATATACCCTATATATAGTCTTTTTTTTATCTGACGGAGGCTTATTGACGGAGCTTTCGGTTGCATGTCAAAGGATTCCCAGGTGGTCTAAATTAATCCTCAGTCCTCCGCTGGGGCGTGCCAGATGCCCGTCGTTGGTTTGGCACGTAAAACTCCCAAATTTGACTTTTAGTCTTTTTTATCCTTTACAGATTTGTTTAAAAAAAGCCATGAATGCTACACTTATGCGCTTTGTGCGAGTAAGTAATACGGCCAGAGGGACATTATATGGGTGGCTAATCTTCGGGCAAGTCGACTAATTAATTAAAATTCGTTAACTAACCTAATTAGTGAAAATAGACACACTTTTCTAGTTAGGAACTTATTGAGCATCGTAGAAAACAACTAAATAAATACTTTTTAGAACGACTTAAAGTTCGGGGGGAAACTCGGGGGCGCGCCAAAGTAACCACTCGTGAAGCAGGCGCAAAGCCAGCAGTGGCCGAACGCGGATGATCAGATCATTGTCGCGTTCCGCCACTGCTACCTTTGCGCCTGCTTCACGAGTGGGAATTTTGGCGCGCCCCCGAGTTTCCCCCCGAGCTTCAAGTCGTTCTGAAAAGAGTTGATTTAGTGATTTTCGATAACGCTCAGTACGTTTTTAATTAGAACCATATGCCTATTTTTTTTCATAACTTAAAAGTTAATTAACAAATTTTAATTAATTAGCCAATTTATTGCAAAGATTAGCCACCCACAGAGTGTCCCCTGGCCGTATAACTCACTCGCACAAACCGCACATTTCATGGTTTTTTTTTTTTAAATAAGTTTGTAAAATATAAAAGAAACAAAAACACACCCTGTATATATGTAAAACGATACACTGGGGGCTCACGAAAAAAGTTAAAAGAAAAAAATAATCAAATAAGGAAAAGCATGAAGCAGCTTTACTTACTTTAAACGACGGATTAAATATAGGGGAGAACAGACAAGGCTCCACCGTCACGTCATAGCCCAATGTTACCTCGCAGCTAACTCGTTGGCCACCTGCTAATGAGCAGCTATTCGCATGTTTAACATCCATTTTAGTGAATTACGCCGCCACACCTTGGCGGAATACTTCGGCGATGATCACATTTCGGGTCACTAAAGTAAAACCAATCTTTTTCTTTTTTTTTTAAGAGAGCGTGCATTTATAGGATCTTAAAGTCAGTTCTCTCATGCGGTTTTAAGTCATCTCACTCTAGCTTGCGTTTCTTTTGCTGTGGACACTAAAAATCTAATGTTTTGCTTATATTTTGTTCGCAAAATAACCGCTTGGGAGATATGTGGCTCTAGTAGCGTCGTAGCGGAGCCGCTGCTGATGTCGCCATTTCTTAGCTTCTCTGTTTGACCGAACTCAATGAACGACCCTGCGCACGCCATCAGTCGCCGTATAATGGCCTTTATATTATCCGAAACAGTGCCAAGAAAGAAAAATTGAAAAACAACCCTTAGCGAAAACTAATACGTTTGAAATATACCACATTCTAATTTGAGTGTATTTGAAATACAGTTCATAATAGTAAGTACACGAAAAATAGATCGAAAATATAAACTTCTTTTTTTTTTTACTTAGTACTAAAATATACTTCTAAAAATCATTTTAAAATACCTTTACTTAAACTACATTTGAAGTTCCCTTCATGCGTTTTGAAATATGTAAATACTAAATTAATAGGCACAAAATACCTTTCAGTTATATTTCTTGAAATATTTATTTAATTAATGCAAACTATACTTTAAACCTAAAAAAATGGAGCAATCAAAAATACGTGCAGAATACTCTTAAAATACCTCAAAATCGTAAATACTGTTGTGTTATACTCCAAGTACCTTTTGACTGCAATACTTTGGTAGTTTGACTTAAACTACCAAACTATTGAAAAGCTCCCCTTCTAGAAGTTCACTTCAAGCAGGTATGGAGTACACTGAAGCGCCTAAATACAACATTTGATTAGTTTGTCAATTGAATTGCGCAGCATCGCACTGATAAATCAGCCCAGTTTATGCTATTGTTTCCTTTTTTCTATCAAGAGAACACCTGATCAGTTCCTTGCACACCAATCACAAACGGGGTTCGGGAACTACAACCACAACATTTTCTGATGTTGGAAAGCTTCAGCAGGTGCTGTGAACAGATACGTTTGGCGTGGTTTTGTCAGCACAATGTTAGTTCACTGAACGTGTATACTCACCATTGTACGTGATGTGAGTAGTGACTTTAATATGGTGACATTAACTACCACATTAAATAGTCAACTACTAAAAAGGAAAGGCAAAATAACTATTGTAAAATATTTATTTTTCGCTGGCTCAATATTTCGTGATTTAGGTCAAAGTTAAAGTTTTGGAATTATTCGCAAATTCTAATTTTCGCAACGCGCTGGGATTGCAATATAGATTTTAATGTTTTTACATTTTGCCGGAATTGTTCACGGGACCTATTTTTCGGAATTGTAGGCGATTCGCGAACTTTGCGAGAATTAGGTCCTCACGAAAATAAAGTCGTTTACAGTATTTTAAAGTGAAGAAACTGCCTTGATTCGCTTCTTCCTGAGTGGTGCTACGAAGAGAAGCAATAACATGTATTTTATGAGCCGTTTGTGTGGATATTGTTTTAGGGATTGCGCAGTGCCGCCGTAACGTTTTTACGATTACAGTGTAGGTTGTGGCCCTCGACATTTAGTGGGGAAGCACAGTATCAAGTGAAAATGTGACGTCGCGCGAAGCTTTTCGTCATTAAACTTAGCGGATATATTTTTGTGCTAAGTTTAGCGCAGAAATTGCTGCGCCACATGCCGTCATGTGACACTAAGATCTCGTCAAGTCTTCCCCAGCTAGAGTTAGCCAGAAAATTGAGACGCTACATGCAATCACGTGACACAGGTCACACGAAGCTTTTACCCTCTAAATTTGGCTAAATAAATTCTCTGCCATATTATCAAAAAAAATTGTGACGTCACATGATGTGGCATCACAGCCATATGAGATGACAGTATCGCATTGCAATATAGGATTCGACGTCACAATCTTCCTCAAAATTCAGAGGTAAAGTGGTGACATCACGCGACCATGTAGTCTTTCACCCTTGCAAACTTTGAATGGAGGCGGAGAAAGATTGTTATTGTGCAGCAAATTATACAGGTCCTTGGCTGTTGTGTCAGTCATTTTTTTAGAATGCCGCAAGGAACGGGCATTCTTTATTTTGATAGCAATGTCTGTTCGATCCGTAGGCCTATAGATCATATAAACGATTTTGACTTTGACAAAGCAAAAAAGTGCGAGATTACCAGTCCCCGCTTCGAGCCGCTAACAAGACGAGGAATACAATCAGCATGCTAATATAGTTAATTTTACATATAAACGTACCAGGTTTCGTAATTCATCTTTTGTCCATAAGGTAAACAAACAAAAAAACAAAAAAAAACACGAAAACTAGGCTGTATTTTTGTCTTCGGGACTAATCACACAGTTCTTGAAGTATCTTATTTGTCTAGGGACGTACGTGTGGCATCCTGGAAGTAACAAAGAGATTTCGGGGTGTTACTTATCGTGTTGGCTTACGTTTCTCACTGTAGCGGGGAACGTGCATTTTGCCGTCACACTTTTGCCCCGGGGGAGAGCCTAAGCACTTATTACCTTCTCATAGTACTCTCCGCAACAAGCCGTACCGTGCGCCCGAGTCCTCAAAGATGCGGGCCCATTCGTTGGGGTCGAAGAACTCGCAGGTGAAGTCCTTGGCGAAGGCCGGGTACGTGAATCCCGGGGGATAGTTGTCCTTCATGAATTGGGGAACCTTCTTGTTGGTGGGGAAGCCCTGGTCCATCCAGTACCACCAGAACCACTCGGATACGTAGCCGGGTACCGAGTAGACGCCCCAGTGCAGGAAGATGCCCACCTTGGCTTGGTCGTACCAGGCCGGCAGCGGACGGGCGTCCAGAGACTCCCAGGTCGGCTCGTACCTCGCCACCGCCGCCGAGGCCCACAGGTGCACCAACAGCACCACCGCGAGGAACCGACCTTGGGGAGAGGCGGTGGCGACGGTGTTATTTTTTTAAAGCATGGTTCCTAACGGCAAACCTCCATCCGCAGCCTACGATCTACAAAAAGGAGGAGGAGAGAGGAGGAGGAGAAAAGAAGGAGGAGTGAGGGGAGGAGGAGGAGGGAAGAGGAGGAGAGGAGAAGGGAGGAGGGGAGAGGAGGAGGTGGAGGGGAGATGCCAGCTGCCCGTTGCGCGGGGGAAGTGCTATCACCATACATAAATCGCAGAGATGCACGTATGAAAACGTGGTGTACTCCCTATCTAAGTGGCTATCTACATGTGTACGGGTCTGTGTTGTACCCATCGATCTCTGTGGCATGTCACACAAAGTTGGTAAATTGTGTGCCGCCAGGGTCGACAACGGCTTGCACGTGGCTGCTCTGTATCTCTCGCCTCCGGCATTCACCGAATATTTCGTGCAAGGCAAAGGAGAACTTCATATCAGTCATGCAGAAAAACCTCCCATTGGCCCCTTGGGATGTGCAGTCGCTGTTCTGCTGTGCCATCTCGGGGGAGCACGCTCAAGACTAGTGCTGAGGAAACCAAAAACGCCGAGCAGTCTTCGACGGAGCCGACAGCAAGTAGGATGTCATCGAGAGTATCACGTACTTCGTCAAAGTGTTGTTTTTAACGCTGTCTCGTTCTCCCGCTTTGATCCTGCAGTCCTGTTTTTGGCACCGGCAGAACTTAGAGTGGAGCTTCCAGATGTGAGAACTATATTTCCTTTCTCCGGACAAGTGGTGAGCGAGAATACCAGAATATTTATATATATATCTTTCTCAGATTGTTTAGCTCGGTATATCGCAGAATCGAAATACCTCAGGAGATGAGCAGGAGGAGGAGGAAAAAAGGAGGAGGAGGAGGAGCAGAGAACGTGGGGAGGAGCACGGGAGGAGGAGAGGGTATGGATGAGGGGCATACCCTCCCCTAATAACCGTTCCCTCCTCAAGAGCAGCGCTCTAATTCAGCGTTACAGGGAGTTGTAAATGGCTTTCGTTTTTTTAAAGCTTGGTTCCTAACGAAAAACCTCCATCCGCAGTCTACGATCTACAAAAAGGCACGAATAGGGTATTTCGGAAATTGTAGGCCACGCATAGTGGGCCCTGGGGGCACATACTCAACCTGTGCTGAGCGAACAGATTGAGCTCCCGTTAGCAACGCAAAGTTCTCGTTGACATTTTACGAAAAGTCTTTATTATGTTCTTTACTGCCCCAAACGGTCCGAGGCAAAGCGCCGGCGTATTGGGATCCCCAAATGGTGGGTTCGAATCCCTGCCGGCCTGTCAGCAATCTGGCGAATGCTTGTCTTTAAAGACGTTTTCGGGACGTGCCTCGTCATGTAGAACTTGGCACTTGCGCTACGCGTGCGGCTTAAAAACGGCTTCATAAATGACTAGTTTCGGTCCTTAATGGAGATGGGACATTTCTAATAAGGCGTTAAAGCTGAGAGATCTCTAGCGCGGTGTTAAAGCCAGCGTCAATTGAGGTCAGCACAGACACCCCGCACGGAAAGCGCGCGCACCCGGACGCCATGGCAACGGAACATTTTGTTGTATTAGTCTCACCGTCTGCCCGCCGGAGACCTAAAGTCCCCTGATACTCTTTTTTTACAAGTAACGACAACGAATACAAATGATAAAACACATTCCACTGGAAGCAGATGGAGGCATTCGGTTCAAACCTCTGCTGTCCGCCGCCATTCGCTTCCTAAAACCTGCACCGTCACGCAGCCGGCGCTTCAAAGAATGTCGCTTTGCGAAATTCTTTGAAGTAGGACTTTATCCGATCGATCACGTCGCGGCGTTCGCCGTGTTGCGTGTCTTCACCTAAAGAGTACCTTACACCCAGGGTCGGTACAAGAGATGGGCTATTTGAGCGGTCACCCAGGGCGCCATCAAAAGGAAAATGCCGCCCGGCAACATTTCTTAATCGTTTTTTTTTTTTTTCATTTTGATATATTTTAGCACAGCGCCCGACACGATGCTATATGCTCGATTGCCGTTCGTTTTTGAAATACCGTTTTCGTCTGACAAACTGCTAGCGTTGGGCGAGTACTCAGATGTTTACTAGCAACTGGATGTCGCACGTAATGGATAGGGGCGCATAAAAACAATTGTAGAGCCGATCTATTTCACGTCAAGATGGAGGACCGCCGAAGCTGTTATCTTAAAGACGAAAGCCAGTAGCTTTCGGTTGGCATCGGCGGCCCGATCTTCGTCGGTCATTTTCGCATGGCGACGACGTTCACACTTCCGATTTTGTTGCCGCTGACGCTCTAGACGGGCACGTTCTTCGTCTGTGAGGGGAGGATCAATCGAAGCCGATGGACTCACACCATCGGTCGCACAACGTTGGGCCCCTGCGCGGTCGGCTTCTCGACGCTTTCGCACACACTTGCGCTGTTGAGCGCGCCGACCACTCTTGTAAGAGCGCTCTTTCTCCTCAGAGAGAACAACACGCGGCCTATTCATGGCGAGTCCAAAAGGCAACTGATAACGTCGCTAAGAAATGACTACGTTAAGGGACAAAGGAACACAGCCATTGGTTGGCAGCTATTTTAGGTTTTACAGTCACGTTACAGTGAATTTCTATATTGATTGAATAAAGACACATACATACATAAAGGCGATGAGCTCTTTCACTACACAATGCTGTAAGTTCTAAATCCAATTTTTTGAGGCACACCTCGAGGACAGTTGTTTTTCCGATTGAGCCGAACTCTCAAAAGCATCCCGAAAGCGAAAAAAAAGGAAGGTTAAATCGGCGCGTTCTGCCCTCAGCCTCGTCACAGCGCACTCTTAGATGAGGTAAGTCGGTGACCGCATATGGTAACAAGGGGTCAGGACCAGACTTGTACACGTTACTGAAAAATAGCAAGGAATTACATTTACAATTACTCGAGGCTAAATTGTAATTTATTACAATCACAATTACTCCCCTATAAAAGTAAATGACCGTTACCACGACAAGTAATCCGTTACTTTCGTGGCGTCACTTCCAGCATTATTGTCCTCAAGTAAGAAACACACACGAGAAGATTATTCAAGTTCTTAATGCTGCCACCTTTTCCATTCCTTGACCTTAAATATTTTGAGCAACAGCTGGCTCTCAAAAATTGCGTTATTTCTTACTGAAGATGTCGAATGCTACGCTGAACACCCTTTGAACTAAGACACTGGATGGGAGTGTCATATTGTGCCTCAGGAATGCTCTATGCTCTGCATTGAGCTTCTTCAGCGAAGCAGTGGAAGTACTATTTACCTCAAAGATAGAGCAAAGCTTCGTCCTTGCAGCGGTTGCCTGATATTTGAGAGTTTTATTAGATCGTTCCGATACCCCCGATAACGATATGACACAATTGCAAAGGTGGCGGCGGAGTATCGGGAATCGCTATCGGGGTCATCGGACAGATCTACCAAACTTCTCCATTGTCGAAATCACGAAGCTGGAGAAGTCATCATACATCTAGCCATAACTAGAAAAATAATTTATTTATGTACATCTTACAATACCGTCATATACTGCCAGACAATAGCAAAACATAGTTGCAACAGTAAGGTGATAATTAAATAATATATAAGGTTTGGCTCGATATTCGTCTTCCTTTAGTGGTGCATAAGCTTCTAGTATATAAATATAAGGAATCGAATAAAAGGGCATTTTTAACAACAGTTAATTAGAACGTCAGTTAAAACAAGGAAATGTAAACGCACGTTTTTCGTGTGTACCTTTTTTGGTGACGTTCAAAAACGCACGGAGCACGAACCGACTGCAGTTTAGTGCGGTGTTCTCCAGATAGACGACCGCTGATGCCACGGGCAGCGAAGGGCAGAGTACTAAGTAAGCCGCGCTACGGCGCCACTCACGAGTTTCACGTCAGCCGCCATCATGCTTTAGTTTTAAAAATATCTGCTTGATATTGGACGCGTCCTGCTGAGGTAAAAACAGGAAGAAGAAAGGAAGACTATTACCAGTTTCGAAGTGCTCGCAAATAGCTGACTCACAAAAAGGGTGACTGAGAGGCAGATAACCTGGCTGGAGTTCACAAATAAAGTGGGACAACCCTAGACGTTAGACTACAAAAAAGTAAGTAACTTTTAAAACAGGGTCAAATAAGGTGAAAGTAACAGAAAAAAATACATCCTGCTTTCTAAGAGTAGATGATAAGTGTGCAGCAAGGAACGAGAATGCTTGTGGCAATAACACCTTCACATATTATCACATCTCTTTTGGTGGATTTTAGGGTTGACGGAGCGTTGTCTCGCGTTGTGACATTATAAAAATGGTCGTAGTCCCTATAACCCAGGACATTGTTAATTCTTGGCGATGTACTTACCGCCTCGAGCTTCTCGAAGAGGCACACAATCACTTGGCGTCCTCCTCTCCCCGGCTTCGATCGCAAAGAAAAAACAAAGGAACTAAAAAAACAAATGTAACTTGACCCCCCCCCCCCCTTTTTTTTTTTGTCGCAGAAATTCTTTTTTATTTTTTGACATTGTTGTTGGGGTCTAAAAAAATATATTTAGTGGCTTGGTGTTGCAAAAAAAAAAAGGCTTTGCGGAACTGAAGGGTGCCAAGCCTCTCTGCGCTGGTCAATTCGCGTGACAGTGTCACTGCGCTCGACTTTACCAAAATAAAAACAACCCTTTCTTTAGAAAAGAGGGGGGGGGGGGGGTTGGTCCTGAAAAAAATGTAACGAATTACAAGGAATTCGTTACGCAAAAAATATAAGGGAATTACTTTAAAATTACTTTAGAAAATATGTAATTATTTCGTTACTAAATTACTGATAAATGTAAGACATTACAAGTAATTTCGTTACTTCCCTATTGAAAATTCTCATTTGTATGATAAATTTCTGTGTCCAATAAACATATATGAATCATACAAGATATATAAGAACATATAAGAACCGTTTAACAACCATATAAGAGCTATATAAGAACTATATAAGGTATATGAGAACATACAAGCACCA